TGTATTTTCAATTAATATCATGTACAAAATGCCATTAGTATAGAAGGAATTATAGAAGAAATCAATTGTTTTTTTTTTTTTTTTGCATGGGAAAGAGACACTGTCTTCACTGGAAAGTTCGACATTTTTGATAAATAAAACTTTTTTTTTTTTTTTTTTTGATTCATATACAGATTTTGGAAAATATCCATTAATCAAAAATATTTCATTTATTATGATATTTGGGGAGAAGACTTTAAGAAAGAGATTTTGAAGCTGAAACTCAACCTATTGGAATATCCGCTCAAAGAATTGCTGCCATAGTAGGAGGTAAGGAAAACATTCCTCTTTAGCAACAGACTTTGATCAAATAACTCGAGCAGAAATTAGACGCAAGCTGTCAGATTAACTAGCTACCTAAAATAGTGATCGTTTTTTTTTAGTACAATACTTATTACATACAATTACTCTTTCCGATAAAGCTTTACGAGTGAATTTGTTTATTTATAAGAAAGCGAAACAAATTTGGATTAGATTTCATCCTATTGTAGTACTATTTTTGGGGAGTGGATGAGGATCACTGTTACATAATAACAAGATCGCAGGGTGAGGTAATTCATTTCCAATGGATATGTAGTCCGTTGAATCTTAAATAAATAAGACACTGGTTCTAACGATCATTTCATTGGAATCCATCTTTTTGTTTTTGTAAGGTACGAAAGAAACAGAGTAAACTGAAAATCATGTTAACTTTCTGTCAGTAGGGATTCAAATACATAGATATTCAAGGATCGTGATCTCTTACATAACTTATTAAGAAAAACATGGAATATATTAAAATTTGTACTTTGTTGCATCACTATCACCTTACAGGAGATGTGTTAAGTCATAAGCTCCTCAAGAAGCCACGACATGCAAAATATTAAACCTGGTCGCCGCATTATACCAGCACATTTCAGGTCCTAACATATATATTTAAAATATAACAATCAATATAAAATGAGAATTGGTATCAATATAAAACTGGTTCTGTTAGTTATTCTGCGTAGGCCGATAACGTCTATTTTAAGAACGTGATGATGATCGTGGCAATGATCGTGAAGATCAGCCACCTACTTACTTATGATTCAGCGAATTACATATCCGAAATGTTCGAAACGAATTATCTCGCACCGCTATTGTATTATTATGTTACAATGGCTCCCATATCCGAAAATGGTGCTACAATATTCCGAAATCTAAGCTTGGTCCCCTAATATGAACTCAGTTATTCATATAATGTTGCGTCATCCAGTTATTTACCACAGACAACATATACTGAAAGACGAAATTATTTTGCTAGTCTTTTTGAATACTTCGGAGTTGCAGACCCGATACTTACCGTGACTTTCTTAGGGGAGCTTGAATGATCGACGTTACAAGTTGAGCCTTTCGTTTTCCATTATCGAAGCGATATGCTGTAACGATTTTCTCTGTATTTACTCAACTTCGCCTTCACTCTTCCTCTTCCTTTTCTATACCTTACATCATTAAAAGGGCATAACTCATATCATACGATCAAATTCTATTTGTATGAATATTTAATCAGATAGCTTTGATTTCATTGCTGAGAAATTTTTGCTTCTCTAAAATTGATGTTATGGTCCCCCACTTAATGGTGCTTTGATTGCGTTTCACATGGCATACGCGGCAAAGTTGACTGGTTATGCATATAAAAACTCAGTGATATGATGCTAAGGCATTTGCCTGCTTGTTCAAGAGTAAAGCTTTTTTTCTTGTACTTAAGAAAATAATTTGCATTTCCTGGAGAAGATTAAGAATTGAATCGTTTATCGTATGCGTACATGCTTTGATTTACGTCATCATCCGTTTACAATCAATTTTATTGACTATTAAAAATTTTAAAAATTCCTGCTTTTAATGCGATTTAGTTTTTTGACAGAAAAAGCAAAAAAACCTATGATAGCGGGAGAAAGGTCAGGATGACCTTTATGAAGCAATTTCAAAAAAAAAATATATATATGGGAAAAAAATTATTTTCTATTTTAAGTGCAACTACTTTGGTTGAACGGCATTTGACAAGTTTTTTTTTGTACTAGACGTACTCATATATCCAAAGGGCAAAAAACATTTGCATATAGACATAAAATATAACTCGACTAAAATGCAGTAGAAATGTTAGAAGGAAAAGTACGCAGGTACTATCATAAATGGAAGATTTTTACATAAGTAAATATTGAGTGATGGTTGCCGGATTTTGAGAGTATTGCCGAATCGTTGCACCGATTTAGTTAATTTTAAGTGGAAAAAAAAAATTTTAAATCTAAATTTGTTTTAAAATAAAATTTTAAACTTTTAATCATCTATTCAAAGGATTAAAAAGGAAAGCAAACGGAAGGAAAGGAAAGGAAAGGAAAGAAAAGCAAATAAATTACTAAAGAAATTTTTTTTTTTTGTCTTAATTCTATGTCCATCTTAACGTCATTTCGTAATTAAATTAAGTTAAAGTCCCAAGTAATGGGGTCTTCTTATCACGTTATGAGTTAATGACTATATATTATGACAACTACGACATATCAATTTCATCACTTGGTTGATTGGTAGCGTCCTCCACAAACAGTAGAATCGTAATTAGTTATTAGTAGGAGTGACGGCCGTTTCGCTATCCAACTAATCGTTTATCTCTTCATCAAAGCCGTAAGAGTTCGAGAAAAAAGTTAATATTTGGATAGAAAATTTTTCATTCCAATACAAGGATCAAATTTAAATTAAAACAAAAGTCGAAAATAAGGTAAAGTTGCTTTTGATTTTGATTGAAAAAACTTTTCCGGAAAATTGTACCACTGTTTGCAATTAACAAAAGGGGAGTTTTGAAATTACAAGGTGATGAGTAATGAAACTTTTTTTCTAATCGAATACATTTTTTACTTGTTATATCCATTACTGTGTGGATGGATGTGTACTCATTTTGTCACAACGTTTGCAACATCCTAAAGGAAGCTTCAGAGACCCTGTAACGTGTACATATTCTCGATTAACGTGAAGTTCTGAATCGATCTAGTTATGTCCGTCTGTGTGTGCAATATGCGTTGTTGACGATGTGGTCTACTGGTCGCAAAAATGAAGATATCAACCTTAAATTTGTATAAAACACGGGTTAAATTGGTTAAGGAGCACAAGAGGCGGCCTCAGCCGAATGGAATTTTCCTTTCTTCCTCTTAAATGTGAAAGAGTGCGAGGGGTGGTGGAGACCCTTAAATCTATAGTATTTTCAAAACTATTTGATCAACTGATATGAGTAATAATTGTATCCCTTTCCGCTTAGTAGCTAATTGGGTCTCGAGTAGAGGTTACCCGCTTGCAACTAATCCAAATGGTTTCAGTAAAATGAATTTTCGAATTTTTTCTCACTGATATTTTTGGCGCTGTTCTTTGGTAATAGTAGAATGCCAGTGTGTCCTCACGTACCGATGGTAATAGTATAAAAGCA